CAGGGAAGGTTGACATGTATGATTTCTCATCCTGTGTGGCAAATAAATTATATACAAAATTATTTAAATAATGTACAATTCCTCTGGTTAATCCAACCATATCATCTTCCTGATTGTAGAAAGCAACTGAAGTGTACATATGTAGGGGCTTCATTCAGTAGGAAGGCAAAAGGGGAAAAGGTAAATACACGGTAAAGTCAAGCACATCACATCCTGAATTTGTAGAATTTTTCCCGAAGTATATGAGCAAAAGTTATTATCCCCAACACGGCCAGCAGATCACCTTGGCCCAGGGGTCCACCCCAGGTAAAGCTGGCGATATCGGAAAAAATTTGCGAACGTATCTCTTAATGACAAATGCAAAATCGAAAGCAATATCACTTAAGCTTAAACTGAACAATGCGTCAACACTTCAAAAGTGAAATTTCAATGATAAGTTGGTCCATGCCTATAGGCACATGCATCTAATAACTTAATTTGTTTACAAAAAGTTTTCGCTGCTTCAAATGATCGATAATAGATCATACAGTATTCACTTCAAACAGAGACATATTTAACAGCATAACAGCATGAGCTGTTTATATATGTTAAGCTACAGTCTTCCAAAAAAAGGTATTTTTGGACATCACACCCCTTTCCGCATGCATGCAAACATCGGGAACCACGCTATACAAATCGTTGTCTCAAAACTTAAAAAAAGACTTGACACTTTCCCTTTACATACAAAATAATTCAAGAAAAGTTTTCTGCCTCGTAACTGAGGTACAATGTATTGAAAACAATGAAAATATTTGAAAAGGCCGAGCAACTTCCGTAAGACATACCTCCAGTCTCCGCAACTTTGAGGTCGTTCGTTTTGCCATCGTAGCCAAACACAGCCCTAGAACAAAATATACAGTTACCACACTGTACAATATGAATGCATATCGAGACAAAGAGCCTACCAGTTAACGTCTGGTGTGTCATCGAAGACTTGTTGCCATGTTTTTAAGAGAGAGTCCCGATTTTTTGTCAAGTTGATCGCCATCTTGTCTTGTCACGTGACAGCTCGAAAGGAGCATCCGGTCGGGGGCTTGGGATAGAGCGAAAGGAGGGCGTGGCAGTAGGAGGGGCTACCAAAAAAGTACACGGAGGGCTGGCGATTCTGAAATCCATTTGACGTCTAGTCCTATACCCTAAGGTTCTGTTGGCTTCAGAACTTACTCTTGAGGCAGAGAAGGGCACTGGGATGGCACAGTGCCTTCCATCCATGTAATACTGGATACACTACCATTTATTGATTTAGTTTGTTTTTGGTTCTTGTCCTCGCTTTGTGAAACATGCAAGTGAGGAAAAAACACACCAATCACAGAGGTTATTGCACTAGTATGTAGACTCCTCTGCTCACATTGATATATACTAAAAGTACACAAATAAAGCCCTTCTCTTTGGATAAAGTTGAGGCCTGTTTATGAGATTCTGTGCAGCAAGTTAATTTTTAATGTGTGGCTCCAAAAAAATATCCAGAACCACACACCCTTCTGGAAATTCCGATTAAGCTTGATACATTTCTTTAATTTTTTTTTTCCCGTGGTGGGAGTATGGCTATTTTCTGGAACTGCACAATACATGTTGTATACTTAGAACAGTAAACAGTTTCTTTCATAGTATTTTAATGAGATGGCAAAAAATGATAGCTCCATAAATTTATTTTGCCTTTCCTGTAAAAATGATGAAACAAGAAAAGAGGAGAGCTTACATCAATGGGGAAGAAGGATGCCATTAATTAATTAAAAATAGTTTCTATACATAAGATTGGCCTATAAGCA